TTAAAAATCCAAATGTTAAGTATTTTAAGTTTGTAGGTCATCCGGTCTCTGTTGCAGCTACTCAACTCTGCTGGCAAAATCAGTCAAGACAATATATAAATAAATAGGTATGGCTTTTTCAAATGAAGCTTGGCAAAAATAGACTATGAGTCTGACCCCAATGTAGACCAATAATCAGGAAGCGACACGTCCAGGACTAGCCAAACACTAGTACCTAAGTCCATGCACTCATGCATTTTACCCTGGAATATTGCAAGTTATACTCAATCCCAAAAATACTAGGGATAAAGAGGTCATACAGATAACGGATCACACAGTAATGAGGGTTTTCAAACGGTTCATGGAAAATTCATATTATGAGAAAAGTACGTATGAATTTCAAAATTTTTCTACAAATAAACTCATACCTTAATTCCATTTTTCCACACATCTTTTTTTTTTTTTTGGAGAGATTTTCACTGTAGGGCGCGTGCGCTCGCCAGACAGACAGAGAGAGACATAGAGACAGAAAGCGAGAAATCACCCCCCAGGGGGGATGGTCATGCCGCAATCCCTTCTCCTCCATTCTCCTCTCGGGATCTTGGGCACGCACGCACACGCGCCCGGCGTTCCACACATCTTTTGAAGTTCCTTTCTATACCTGCTGTCTCCCAAAGCCCATTCTCCCTCTCACATGCTGCATCCTGAGGAGGAAGGTATTCTACCAGCAGTCCCTTAGCCAGACCAAGAGGGGGCATGCTGAATAAAGCAGAGGCTCAAAAAGCCTGGGAAAGGGAGGTGATGGTATTACGGGATGGAAACAACCCTAACCCAGTGCAGGACTCCCATGCAATTTGCTATTTAAGCGATGTGAAAAGACTGGATCATGCATAAACCACCTTACAAGGATTTAAATAACAAGGACAACAAAGCCCCTCTAAAATGGAACAGTATTTCTAGGAAAACTCTTTCTTAAACAAACATTTCTAAATCTCCACTAGTAACTTGGTGATAGGCTTTCTGTAATACAATTATTTAGTAAGATTAGTCTACAATTCCCAAGGGGGTCCAGAACAATAATGCTGTGTCTCAAAAATAAACTTATTAGAATTGAAACTATCCCAAGAGATCCTGAATGGATAACAGACGTGATTGAATTCGGGAGTGCCTGAGTTGGATCTTTTTCCTTTCTCCAGCTGCTATTATTAGAAGCACTAGGAAGTAAAATATTTCAAGAAAGATGCTAATTAAAAAAAAACAAAGGGTAAATGATAACCCGTAAGTAAGCAGTTCTTCCCTGGACTGAAGACTGGCATTGCATTTGAGCCTTAAAACTCATAAGGAGGAGTTCAAACCATCTACAACACCCAACCACACCCAACACAAAACCTCGAGTGCAGTGGTGATGCCAGAGGGTTCACAGTGCCCTGACTGTGAGTCCTGCCTCCTCTGTGGCATCCCTCAGGTTCCTAGATCAGGTTTTGGATTCTGGGTCAGGCGCCATGCTAGGGTTTTCCTCTCCTCCTTTCCCTAGTTCTGTGAAAGCCTGACAACCTCCATTCTAGAGCTGAGCTTCAGTGAAGGCAGGTTAGTGTATAAAGCCCCACCACTGTCTAAGGTCAGAAGTCAGCGTGGTTTCTCGGCGGGAAAGCTCGCATTCTGTCTGCTTCCCTAGCCGCAGTCTGCCGGGTCCCTGATACCCATGTTTCTCTGATGACACGGGATTCTGTTCAATACTCACGCTTCCGAATTCTTAATGGGCTTTGAATCCACTGAGCTTTCATTGTTCTCCATGTTTACTTTTATTAACTAGACAAGAACAGAAAGACAATAATAGAGTTAATTAAAAAAAAAAAACCCAGTCATTATAAAAACCACTGCATTCTATTAATTGTCCCAGGGATTATTCCTCCATATTAATCCCTTGGTTTTCCTCTACTGTTAAGGTTTTAGAGTCAGACCTGGGGACAATGACCCTTTGCAACGATACGTACAATGTAGTCCCTTTAAGTAATGAATCACATACGGTGAATTGTATAAAGTACACAGCTAGAGCGTGAGGAGCTAGATTAAGTTTTACATTTGCATGTCCCCCCACCAGATCAAAACAAAGACTGCAGCTTGTGAAACAATAGATCAGGTCTTTTGTAGGAACTGTACCCCAATAACACAGTTAAAAAATAAAACAAAACAAAACAACTTCCAACCACAATGGTATTTCACATAAAGCTACTCTGTAATTCTTAGATTCCCAAGAGACACAGAACCAAGAAGTTCCCAACTTCCACATAGTCTTTATGACCCCCCCCCCCTTTTTTAAATAATATATTTGCCAGGGGCACATCAGCTTACTGGAGACAGAGAGGGATGGAGGAAAGTGAGAAAGCAGCCCCTCCCCAGTGGGGTATGAATGGTCACACTACAATCCCTTCTCTTCCATTTGTCCTGTTGGGATTTGGGCATGCATGCGCCTGGTGTGTTTTTCAAGCTGATGGGTCTGGGACTTGACCGTGCAGTTCACTGTGTGGGATTCAGCCACCTTAACTACCATGGCACTGGTAGCCCTATTTTTTTTTTTTTAAATTGACTTATGATCATTATACATACTTTTAAGGTAATATTTATTCTTCAATTGGGGGTTGGAATCCCAGCTTCTCATTTAGGATGGTGCTATGGCCTAGGAAACCTAGAAGTTAAAAACTAAAGCTTCTGCCTTCATTCTTCCATCTCACAAAGTAAGCGCTTAGAATCGAACCAGCTGCCACGTACTGTGCACTCACTGTACAGCAGGTCCTTTGCTAGGCACTCAGCCTTAAGCTCCCAACACTCCTACCGAGACTCCACTCCTAGTGAGTAAGTGACTCCGTCCACAATCACACGCTAGGTGATGGGGCCTCTTCTTTCCTACTCTGCTGTGTGGATTGTGACGAGGGCAGCTCCTTGCTACTGGTCTCTGGAGTCCTGCCAAGTCCTTTCTGACTTCCCAGAAGCAAAGGTACTTCCCATGGTAATTTACTCCCCTAAATAAAGAAGGCAGAAAAACAAGGACAAAACAATACAAAACAAAACAAAAAAATCCCCCAAAACAAGAACAAACAAATCTTAAGACTTTCCCAACTCTAGGAGTCCTAGCTACGTCAAAAACTCTAGTCAAAACACAGCTTGACCCTCACTCCTATGTTAAAATCAGAAATACTAGAAGAAAATGTAACCCCATCGACACGACTCACTCACCCACAAAAGCCTCTCTACAAAGTCCTAGGCAACCCCTCTGCTTTTTAAATTTTATTTAACATAGGGGCCAAGTATATATATATATATTTTAAGAATTATTTCTTCTTTCTTTTTTTCTTTCAATTTGATCAGAGAGGGACAGAGCATGCGAGAGAAAGAGAGGGGCAAAGTGAGAAAGCAAGCTGCCAGGTCTAGGATTCGAACCACAGTTGGCCATGTGGGAATCCAGGGCCCTCAACCACTACACCACCTGCTGGCCCCAGTTCTGGTATTATTTTATAAAACAAGGCTTTGGGCTGGCAGGTGGCATGGTGGTTAAGGGTTTTGGATCCCACATGGCTAAGGGTTTTGGATCCCACATGGCTGACTGTGGTTTGAGTCCTAGACCTAAAGGCTTGCTTTCTCACTTTCCCTTCCCCTCCACCTCTGTCCCTCTCTGGTAAAATTAAAACAAATAAAGTTAAATAAAATAATTCTTAAAAAAAAAAAAAAAAAGCCAGAACTGTTGCTAGCCAGTTTCAACTTGCCCCATTTTAAGCACAACAAGAAAGAGGTATTCCCTTACTCAGAAAGTAGTGACCCTCCCTTGCCCATATATGCCCTGTATCAGATACCATTCTATCTGCCTTTTTCTTTTTCTTTCATATGTACAATGGACATGAATTAGGTACAAGGAAATCCCAAGCTTCCCTGAATCATAAATATCATAGAGACCAGCTTATACTATGCACGCTATTCCTACGTGGACAGACCACAAACCAAAATAATTGACCATCTGTGGTTGAGAAACAAGGTGTGGCAAACTTGATTAAGGGCGAGAACAGTAGAGAGTAGCTAACAAGTTTGAAGACACAGGTGAATATATGCAAAGTGATTTACTGACAATGTATTGCAACCCATAAGAAAATAGTATCTTTGTTTCAAGACCTTATGGCCAGGGTATAGAGAATCTTGAGTAAATGGGGACAGCACATGGCATGATGGTTAAGGCGCTGGACACTTCCACATGGCTGACCATGGTTCAAGTCCTAGACCTAGTGACTTCTTTCTCAATGTCCCTCTCCAGTCAAATTAAAATAAATAAATAAACAAAAATAAATAAATAATTCTTAAAAAAAAAAAAAAAAAGAAAATCTAGAGTGAAAACACAGTTGGCCTGATCGAAGAAGATACACAGATGGCAAATAAACATAGAGAAGATGTCCTATAAACAAAAATGAGACACTACTACACAACTATTGGAACGGCCCAAATCTTGAACATTGTAAACAACGCCAATGAGAATGTGGAGCAACAGGAACTCTCATTCAGGGCTGGGAAGAATGCAAAATGGCACAGCCTCTGGAAGACTGGAAGTTCCTTACAGAACTAACACACTCTTGGGCTGGCCAGTGATGTGGTGGTTAAACCATCTGAATCCTACATGGCCACCCACTGTGTGGTTTGAGTCCTGGACCCAGAGGCTTGAGAGACATGCCAGGGATGTGTGCATGCATGCCCAAAATCCTGAAAGGAGAGACAGAGATGGAGGAGAAAGGACTGTGGCATGACCATCCCCCACAGGGGCACTTTCCTCACTTTTTCTGTCTCCCTTTGGCAAGTGCATACCTTCTCTGGTAAAAACCACAACAAACAACCCATACCCTCACCATATAATCTAGCAATCATACTCCTTGGTATTTACCCAAAGAAGCTAAAAAGGTGTGCCCACACAAAAATCTGCACACACATTTATAACTGCTTTATGTTTTCTTTTCCTTTCTTTCTTTTTTTTTTTTTTTTTTTGAGAGAGATATTTTTATTATAGGGCATGTGAACTCGCGCGCGAGAGAAATCACTCCCTGGGGGAATGGCCACACTCAAATCCCTTTTCCTCCATTCTTTTGGGATTTTGAGCATACATGCACACATGCCCAATGTGAGTTTGAAGCTGCTGGGTCCAAGACTCGAACTGTGAGTGACTATGTGGGAGTCCAGCGATGTAACCATTAGGTCATCTGCTGGTCCTTGTTTGGTTTTTTAAATAATATCATGTGTGCACACACATTGGGAGAGAGAGGAAGGAAGAGAGAGAGTTGAAAGCACCCTTGACAGGGTCTCGTCACACCATAATCCTCTCCTCCTTGTCTTCAACTCTTCAGGACTTTGTATGTGCCAGGCATGTTTTCAGATCAACACGAGGATCTAAAGCTGTAGTTAGCCATGTGGTTTCCAGCACTGCACTCCAGTACATGGACTAGACCACTTCTTAAAAAAGTTTATTTCTTTCTTTCATGACAGAAAGAGAGAGATTGAAAGGGAGAGAGAAAGGGAGAAGGAGAAGCAGGTACCCAGAAGAGTCTTCATGCCATGACCCACCCCCAGCCTCAGCCAGCCTGCATTACAGCTACACACACACATTCACCATGTCTGGGGAGGCCTTGGGATGTGAACCCAGGACATTTCCATGTGGGGCCCGTGTCACAGAGCATTGTGTCACTGCTATGCCACCACCTGGCCCTGTAGTTTTCTTCTAGAGAGACAGAAATCACCCCCAGGGAAAATGGCCATGCCACAATCTCTTCTCTATTCTGCTCTCAGGATTTTGGGCATACACTCAGTGTGAGTTTTAAGCTGCTGGGTCCAGGTCTCGCACTGTGGCCGACTCTGTGGGAGTCCCGCAATGTAATTATTATGTCATCTGCTAGTCCCACAGTCTTATTTATTTAGATTTTTGCTATAGGGTGCATGCACTCGCCAGAAAGAGACAGAGACAGAGACAGAAAGCAAGAAATCACCCCCCAGGGGGGATGGCCACGCCGTAATCCATTCTCCTCTTGGGATCTTGGGCACACACGCACATGTGCCCAGAATGAGTTTAAGTCACCGGGTCTGGGACTTGAACCACAGTCGACTTACATGGGAGTTCAGCTGACATAGCCATGACGCTAACTGCTGGTCCCTCCACAGTTTTATGCTTAATTATCAAAACTTGGAAGCAACCAAGAAGATCTCCAGGAGGTAAATAAATGTTGTCCAGGTATATCTAGACAATATGATATTATTCAATGTTAAAGAGAAATAAGTTAGTAAGCCACGAAAAGATACAGAGGAAACTTAAATTTGTTATTACTAGGGAGACAGCAAAAAGATCGGTCTTTGCCAAGTGTTAGGAGGGAAGCAGAGAGATGAACTGGTGGAGCAGAGAGGATTTTCAAGGCCGAGAGATGAACTGGCAGAGCAGAGCAGATTTTCAAGGCCGTGAGACTACCCTGCATGATGCAATAACATGACACATGTTATCATCCAAACCTACAGAATGACCAGCCCCGAGTGTACCCTACGTGAACGGTGGACTTGGGACATGGAGTAATTAAGATGTGTTAGTGTAGGTCACCAAGTGTAACAGAAGTGCCACTCTGCTGTAGGATGTCGATAAAGCGGCAGGCTGCTCCTACGTGGAGGCAGGAAGGATATGGGATATCGCTGTACTCTCTCAATTTGGGTTTAAACTGAAACAGCTCTAAAAAAAAAAAAAAAAAACAAAAAAAAACTGGCTTTGGAAAAGGAGACTCAGCTGAACCTGGAGCTCCCGATAGTGCTTTTGGG